TTTACTGGAGGTTAAACACACCTCAAGGACTACACTTGTCCTTGTTACCTATGTGTAATTTATTGGAGGTTAAACATACCTCAAGGATTACACTTGCCCATGTTACCTGTGTGTACTTTACTGGAGGTTAAACACACCTCAAGGACTACACTTGCCTTTGTTAACTTATCTTGCCGTGCAAGTTCTTTAACAATATAGTTTCTATCATCATACTCAAATCAACTTAGGGTTAACCTTTATCAAGGCTTCCCGTTTACCCCAAACCATGAATGGGCCGCTCCGGGTCCAAGTCATGCTCATACAACTAGTGTCGGGTCCCTCCAGAACCCGAGTTACTCATCGAGACATTTAAACTTAACAATTACATTACCGACCTTAGTCGTGATAACCCTCGGTCAACTATAGGTCAAATATAATTTTAAAGTTGGTACCCAACTTAAGCTATTAAACCACGAGCTAGCCTCGCACCGACTACCCGCTCGAATTCATCGTTTGGAATTAAGTAGCTCTGACCGGCGTCAGACATGCCTCAACTGGCGCCAGACATATGTTTTATTTCTTCGAAAATTCAGTTCAACCGGCACCGGACATAGGTGAACCGGCGCCGGACTTATATAATGCTCGCCGGAAAATCTCACCCAACCGGCGCCGGACTTTGCCCAACCCGCACCAGACATTGCTACCCCAAAAGGCCAAGACCGCCTGTTTTGAACCGGCGCTTCCAACCGGCCCTAAAACTACCTAACCGGCGCCGGACGTCTCCTAACCGGCGCCGGTCAACGGCCGAAAACTTTGGTCAACTCCCGTTTGACCAAACAAACAGAGTCATTCTTAGTCCAAAAATATCCTTTTGGACGTCCAAATCATCTCACATAATTTTTAATCACTTTTTGTCCAAATTAAAGAATATTAAGTATACTTATTAATACTATTAATAAGTAATCTTGTCACAATACATTCTTAGATGTATTTGATCATTCAATGTAATATCATTCTGCCTCCTTTGAGTGATCTCATAACTACGCCCTAAGCATGGCTCATGATCCTCTCTTAACACCTTTTATTCATACCATTAATTATGTCATATTTCCATAATCCATAATTAATATGGTTAATCACAAGATCACATATCATTTTATATTTCCTTACTAGATAACTCTAGTTAATCACATACATGGTCCAAGTATACATTCTTATTCATTTAAGAAACTATACTCATGATTATTTAATACATTAAATGAGGGTTTGGAGGGTTAAGTTTAACCATGAACGGAGTTATGACTGGAGTAAGACCGGTTCACTGGAAAACACCTTCTCCGAAGGTTTTGATGTTTATACCACTTTTGGTTGTGAAACTTTGTTAGGAATTTTACCAAGGTATTCTAGACTTCTCAAGGAATCTAGGAGTGGCCGGAGAGCCGCCGGGGCCTCCGGAGTTTTCGCCGGAAAATTCAAAAGTCGCCGGAGTTCAAACAAAGAGGATAAAAGCTTGCTATCATCATTTCAAGGTGAGTGGACGACTACGTGTCTTGTAACTCTTGCGTCAAACGTGGGATTACCTAAATAAAATCATAACCATGATTTGAGAAATGATTAAATGGATTAAAATGCATGATTAGTCATGGTAAATATGGCTAATGAAAAAAATAGATTAATTTATTAATTATTCATGAGTATATTTCCCTTAAGTGAATAAGAATGTATACTTGGACTATGTACGAAACTAACTCGAGTAATCAAGTAAATGAATACATGAAAAGATATTTGAACTTGTGATTATCCATATTAGATATGGATTATGGAAGTATTATATGATTAATGAAAAATAGATTAAATTTCACATGATCAATTTTAAATCATAGTATAATTTCACATGATCAATTTTAAAAACAATACACTCTTACCAAATACTATTGAAACACATAAATATTACCTTTGTTTTCACTATCACCGATTGTTGATGTCGCTCCACTTCCATTTTTTTTCTCCATTGTTGACACACTGATTTCTAGGGTTTAGACGTCGATCGCTCCTTCTGTTTCGCCGTACGGCCAACTTATATCTGTTGCCTTCGAGTTCTTCTCTCAAAAGAGCTCTGCACTAGGCGATTTTCTATGTTTTCAAATACATCCGCACGATTGTCAAGAATTATTTCTGCCCTTAATTGGCCTTTACATATATATATGTGTCCCAATCACTCTTATGTTCTTTTCCCTAATTCCCTTTACTTATTATTACTCATGCACTCTTACCAAGTTTGTTAGTAGCAAGCGTGTTTTCTATTTTTTTAATTAGATCTGATCTCTTAATTTCAGCCGTACGATTCAGGATAAAAATATATAGCATACTTCATCAAATAAGAGTCACTACTTGCTCTCTTTATTGTGCTTATTAATCATAAAGAGAGAAAATTGAATTAAACTATGTTACGTTACTTATAGATATCAAAAATTCAAATTGATTAACTAATTGATCATTTATCAACCAAAAGGCCATACGTAACACAGAGAGACAATTCTAAGTAAGGATATAGAGCTTCCTTTCCCAAAAACAAGTGAAGGATATAGAGCCACACATTGATAAATAAAACAAAGTACATTCATGGAACAATATAATATTAAATTCCACTTAATCATATTCGAGATAGAGAGAAGAAATGAAAATAACATTTGATTGATATCATCAAAGAATCGTGTTATTAATTAACTGATTTATCGATGATTACATCAACATAACTAAAGTGCATATGTGGAAAGAGATGATGGTTCTAAATAAGGATATAAACGTAAAAAATTCATATTACTTACCCTGGGATACTGTTCATATTTAAGGAGTTGAATGGATTTGGTGTCGAGGTGAAAAAGAAATACATCCCCTGTATTTGCCGCCAGAATTAGGTCAAAAGGAGAAGTTTTCTTGTTCTTTTTCTTCTTGTTATATTGAGCCCGTTTGGTGACCCCTTTTTTTGGCTTATCAGGCTTATCAGCCAGTTTTTTCACCAAACACATAAACTTTGATTTCGCGCACTGAGTTATGTAATAAGCAAAAAAAGTAAGGTTGAAGTTACTTTTCTGGCTGTATTGGCTGAAGTTACTGTAGAGGATCATTTTAACTATTTTTTCATCTAATTTTTTATTTTATTTATTAATAACAAATATTTAAATATAATCTTTTCATGAATCAGCAGAATCGTCTAATACAGCCACTTCAGCCATAAATACATATATTTCAGCAGAATCAGCCAACCGCCAATTTTAGTATTGCCAAAAGGGCTCATCAAGTTCCAAGAAGAAAAGCAACGGGTTACATAAAAAGAATAAATAGCATTATTCTTAAAGCATTAGACCATTAGCCCCATGCTTGAATAGTGAAAGTTCATTTTTTGGTTGAAATAATAAAAGGCCAATTCATCAAGCCAGTTTACGGTGGTGGAATATCATAAAATTGTGTTATTTATTTTAAAATCGTCTAGGATTCTCCCAAGTATTTCACCAGAATGAATGATTTTAGCATCTCTCATATTTATTTTACTGTATTAAGTATATTTAGATTTATCTATATCTTTGTGTAAATACAGTGTTTCTAAAAAAGAGACATCGAATGCAAAAAAAGAGTACAACATCATTTTGTGGAATTAGTTAACTTCTGAAGCTCTCCATAAAAAAAGAGAATAAATAAACCGTGTACCAGATCATTGCTTCAAACACTACATAGATATAGATCTTCAACTAAGTGAAGCCCCAACCACAACCACTATACGGAAATAAAAAATCACAATCTTTTTCTAACAAAAGTTTCATTCTTGTTATCATTCCCTACAGGTCTAATGTACACTCTACTACTGGAAAATGTAATTGAATTATAATCAGCATCAAGAGTCAACATAAAAAAGGGTTTTAGATGAATTACTCTATTCCAAGAAAATTGATAACCCAATTAGATACATTAATTACTGATTAAGTAGACAATACCTCTTTTCATTCGCCCCAACATATAAAAATAAACTACTGATCAATATCTATTATATCATCAATTATTGTATCAACCTAAAGATGGTTCTAAATAAGGATGTAAAATCAAAGATCAGAATGCGAGCCACATTCCTCATTGACCGGATGCCCTTCATATTGAAGGTGTTGAATGGATGTAGTGTCGAGGTGGAAAAGAAATGCCTCCCCTCTTTCTACCCTCACAATAAGGTGAAAAGGAGGAGACCTATTATTATTATTAATTGGAACAAAGGCCTCCAAGGAAATCAGCCTCACCCTTGCACTTCAATGGAAACAAGAGCTCATCATTCCAGAGAGAATCCACACTTATATCGTACATTAACACCCATTCTTGACAAGCTACCAAATACGGCCGCGGTTGATTATCACTACCGCCCCCGTCTTCGCAGCCCTTCGGGAGCATGAACACTCTCATGGTCTTGTTATCCATGTAGCCGAACCATAACACATCACCGGCATCAATGGAGGTCCTTGCAATAGTTGTAGAAATGTTATCAAGATGCAAAACACCCGGAATGTCGATGATTTGGATGTGCTCGGACGATAAAGTGTAAGTATTCTCCTGTAAATATTACACCAGTGGAAAACACCATTCGTCACAATAGGAGGCCTAGTAATGGAAGTATCTTCCGGCAGTGGCGATCAGTTTGGGTTCGGCGGCCCAGGCGGCTGTCCGGGATGAGTAAGTCCAGATCCTAAGAGAATTATTAACAACGTGCTCATTCAATGCGACCAGTGGAGCTATTCAAGGACGTTTATGGAGTGCAATTCTGGATTCTTTTGCCGCATAAAACGTAGTATAATGTCTATCTATTGGTCTATCTAGTTTTGGGCCATCCTGGAATTGGGTGGGCCAATAACAAAGGCGGTGTGCAGAGAACGAGCTTTAATTAAATAATCTAAATCTCAAGCTCAAACCTGTTACGCGAACTGGGAAAGATGTCTTCGAGAGGAGAACCTCCAATGGCAGATATCGTGTTCAAGGTCTCCCCCCATGGCAGGCCAGTGTTCAACAAACTGGATTCCGGAATGGGGACTTCCGAGTCTACCTACAGCGACGAGGTATGATATAAGCTGTGATTCAATATGATATTAACAGATCTTCTCTTTGCCATTCCAGGATCGGTTATTCCAATTGGATTCGATTTCAAAGTTGCGTATGATTTGTTTGTTATTCCGATTCAATTTTTAATTAACATCGTTTGTTTGTGTTTTTGCAACAAAAACTTAGATTATGACTTAACCTTACATAACTTTCGAGAACTTGCAAACAGCTAAACATAAAATAAACTAGAGTGTCATTCATCAAACTTGTTCCAGATAAGGAGAAAGTGTGATTCATCCAAACAACATTTATGACATTAATTTAAGTTCACTTTACTTATTTCCAAACATTATTTTACGCATGAACCTAGGTTCACTTAGGTAATGGCGGATCAACTAAGGGTCCCACGGGGTCCACGGGACCGCGTGGACTTCCAGAACAATACCTGTACAAAATTATTTATGTTTTAAATAAAATTGAGTAGTAAATGTATATAAATAACAATAGAGCATAAAAAATTGAAGACTTCAATAGCGGAACGGGTGATTGTGATAGGTTAAACCCTCTTTTATCACGCAGGTGGAGGGTTAGATTCCCTGCAAGGCTCTACTAACTCTTTTTCCGGCTTTTTTCATAATTCATTTAAATTTAGGAAAAATTGAAAATAATAATCCCAACTATTGCCGGTCCGTTGAAAATAATCCCAACTATTGATTATTTTTGTATAATCCCAACTATATAGACTATCCGCCAATAATGGTCCATGACCATATATTATCTCTACAAAAAGTGAATTTTAAATAGAAATTAAGCGTAAAAATTAAAAATTGAGATTATTTATAGGGATTACTTGTTATATCTCATCTCATCCACTTTAGAAACTCCAAGAATTTATTCATAGGGACCATCATTGGCGGAAGGTCCCTAAAGTTGGGATTATTCTGTAATAATAAATAGTTGGGATTATTATGAGCGGACCGCCAATAGTTGGGATTATTACTATCAATTTTTCCTTAAATTTATACTTTGCACCATCCGTTTTGAATTTGAACCACCTAATGGAAAGAAATTCTCAATCAATCCACGCCTTATTCCTTTGTTCATTTTTTACTTTATTGAATTTTGACCTTTGCATTAATCATTTTTTGAGATTAATTATTAAAATTTATTTTAATGTTAAAATTAAATTATTTAATATAATTTGCTCAATATACGACTAAAACATAAACAAATTCAAAAATAGGACGAAATATGTTTTAAAATAGGAGTGAATGAGTCCTATTAATTAAACATTGATTTTCATATTATGAATTTTATCCATGTTTTAGTGCTATTTAGAGAATGTTCTCATTATTAAATTTGTGTATTTATGATTTTTTTCAATATTTTGCGATTTAGGATGAAAAAATATTTTAATAGTGTACCCAGATTTAAAGAAATTCGGAGTATCAGGAGTAGTTAAGATGTTAATTCAAATGATTCGTCATTAGGAAAAGAAGAATTGGATCAAGTAATTGATGAAAGTGAACTAATTTGGCTTATAATTTACATAAAGAACATGTTGATTTTGAATCTTTAAGAGTAGATCCTAGATTGAAAGAAAAAAGGTTGACTTTCATCCTAATGTTCAAGACGAGGTACGTCGCAGTTACACTAAAAAAGGATCGTTTTACCCTCGGAATCATGATTTCCCTTTTAAGGTAATTGGCGGAAAAAGACGTAGATTTGTTTCAAGTTGGTTTGATGAGCATTAATGGTTCAAATACACTATTGCCAAAAATGATGCACTTTGTTTATCATGTTATTTTTTTAGGAATGAGTGTGAAGTTTGTGGTCATCGTGTTTTGGGAATAGGGTTTTTAGATGCTGCATTTTGTTTACCATGTTATGTCCCTTTTAAGATAGATGTTGCATTTTTTACCATCTTATTTGTTTATCATGTTATTTGTTTAATTTTATATTAATTAGAATTACATTTAGATAGGAACCCCATGATTCTGTTTTTCTCGGTCCGCCACTGCACTTAGGCTAACCTAGTTTTTATTAAAACTTAAGTTTACTTTATTGCACTAGATTTATTTAAGTTCACTTTAATTAGGGTTAACTAATTTGTAATTGTTTTGTTAGTCTACTTGGAGGACTCTTGTGATTCCCGCAAAGTTTAAACGCTTTAAAAAAGTGTTAGAGGGTTGGAGGATACCTGATGATCTGACCCAAGAGGTTCTAGAGAAAATGCTGAAGAGGTGGTATGCGCATGAAGAAGGTCCTAAAAAAGTATGGTCATATTTTTATTTTATAGTCACGATTCAATATCATATAAATTTTTATCATGTTTATAGTCCCTTCACCATATCGATCTTACAGGGGCTAAAACCCAACTGTTATCGTGATTTTTATGGTTATACATTGAAATCTCCTTTTTTTGTGTTTTAGAGACGAAGATATAAAAAATGGCTTGCTAGCTTGCCTGCAGGCGGTGTACAGCCTGTTAAACTTGAAAGACTCAAAGCTAAGGGTGCTAAAGAATATGATATCATCCTCTCTATGTGCAATTGGGTTGTTGATGAGCACCATAAATACCTTGTAAGCTATACATCATCATTTTTCTGAGCCAAATATATTATGCGTTTGTCCAGATCTTCTATATGTAACTATTTTAAATGCTATTATCTGTAGCCCGATAAGTGTTGCGAGTTTGCAAGCGTGGAGAGGGCGCGGCGTCAATTTATAGAAAATGGTCATTCGTATTACCTTGATTTTTTTGTCAAAGATCTGGAGGCCGATGGCAATCCTTTAGTACCTGTTAAGGCCATCGTTTATCGGAGAGTGCCTGATGATTTCAAATTATGGCAATGTCATGGGCTGAAAGCCTGAAATAAGTTATTACTGCTTGCAACCTTTTATTATTGGATTTTTGCATCGTTAAGAAACCATATTTTGCTCAAGTGCGAGAATGTTTAGCACCTAAAAAATTGCAGTGGAGATGCAATCTCCACAAAAAATGTTTACAAAACCAGGGCTTGCATATACAAAACTCATTCATTTTATAACCTTTTTGCCTGAAAGCAAGTATATACCGTTCTTTAGTTTCTTTTGACTGCATCCCTGTTATTTACATCCTACTTTGCAAGTAATAATTCCCTTCCAGCGCAGGATTTATTTCATACATATTTTTTTCTTTTGTATACAGGGGCGGATCCAGAGTTCCTAACCATTGGGGGCACCGATTTAAGTAAGAGTGATTTTTTTTGAATAATTATATACAATGTATAAATATCTTCAAAAGATGAAATAGTCAAATATTAGGAAGACGAAAAATGTTTCATGTGGTTACAAATGCTCACGACGAGTTTTCCTTTTTTGAAAATGGTCCATCACAATTTCGTTTGTAATGGTATCAAGTATGTCTTTTTTTAACATACTCTGTCACAAATAAGACAATTATTTAAAAACAGGTCACCAATGATTTGATAATATTCATAACTGAAAAACATCTTTTTCTCTAACATCTCCACTTTCAATGGATGGAGGCGGTGTTTTCTTTGAAAGTATCACATAACTATTGTTTAATGTGTCCAAATAAAATAAAATAATACACTTAAAAGTTATACCTAACAATATTTAGTGAAGAACATTTTTATAGTATATTATTCATTAACTAAAACGAAATAACATTAATTACTAAGTATATTCAGTCATACTTAACACTAAATTCGTAAAACTAAAATCTCAAGGAGAAATCATCCCTAATATGGTAAATCAGTTATACACACCCTAATAAAGGAAAATTAAAAGGCACAAGATTAATGTTTAGGATTCTGGGAAATTTCGAAAGCACAATGGAATATGCAAATAGCAGCTACTAAATAGCATAATAATCAATCCCAAATCACGCAATTAATTTCAACAACTACTGAAATAGCAATTAACTAATTCTTGAATAAAGTATTTAATTTAATCTAAAGGTAAAACCTGCGGAATTAGAAAATGTCCTTATTGGCTTCTTTGGGAACTAATTATTAAAATAATAGGTTACATAATTGAAATAATTGAGAAATGGAGTCGACTGGGCATGGAAATTATGGAATAAAAAGGCTAATAGGTACTTCTACTTCATTCGCATGAATGGTATGATATATTATTGGGGGCATCATCTTTTTTCATTGGGGGCACTACTCCTTAATGCATAATTTTTTTATTATTTTAATAACTAAAAGTACAAAGTTATTGGGGGCATGTGCCCCCATTGTTTATTAGCTACGTCCGCCCCTGTTTGTATAGTGATAGTTACTCCACTCGGATAGGCTCTAGTGACAAGTGTTTGTTAGGGCATCCCCATCCATAGGTTTATTTAAGGATCATTTTGATGATCATTTTCATTTTCATTTACCTCAGTGCCACAAAGGCTCCCACCTAAGGTGGAGTAGGGGGGGTCGGATGTATGTAGTCTTACCCCTGTAGTAAAGCACAGAGAGACTGTTTGCAGATGACCTGTAAAGCAAATCGCATCCAAAATTACATGGACTGACTGCTGCTTCATAATAAAGAAGTGCAGACCGTTTAGTGAGCCATTTTGCTTTATTCGATCATATTCTCAGGCCAAAAAATAATGAATCTTTGGCTCCATTGCAGATGATGGAAATGAATCATTTTGATTATGTGAACGATATTTTTTTAGATCATGATTGAGATGTTGAGATTATTTGATGAAAAAATCTAATATCAAATTTTAAATCTTGGATTATTAGAGATTATTCCCGAACATCTAGGTTCCTCTCAAAATATGAAATATTAAAGGTAACAAGCATTAAATTTGACCTTGGTTCCATTGCAACATTTGCAAGTGATCCATCATCGATCACTACCAAAGAGTAATGATGGGGCTAAAAAAATCAAAAGAGATTTAAGATCTTGAGGGGAAATTTAATGGTGCGGAGATTATTTACGATTTTCTTACGTGGAAGTAACATGGCAATAACAAACAATTAGAAACCGTAAAATTAAAGAGCATGAATGGAGATGCTCTTAGTTAATTTTTTAATTTTTATTATTTTGTCTTGAATTTTGAGTATATATGTTTTGATTGTTACGGAACAGGATGTGCTGACATTGTGGTGATTGATAAAACATATGATGAAATCTTTCATGTAGGCATGGCAATGGGTCGGGGCGGGGCGGGTACTGCAAGACCCATACCTGCCCCGTGACTTCACTGGGTGGACCCGCCCCGCCCCGTGACCCGCACGGGTCCAGAATTGTTGACTCATGTCCCGCCCCGCTATAAGTCTATAACCTAATTGGCTACTATGCATTTCTATTTGTGTGAAGTTGTTACCACTTGAATCTACACAAAATTTATCTTTAAATATCTATTAAAAGTTTAATATATGATATCCATGTAATTTCCGATTGTATGTTTGTATTTTTAACTAGTTTTTATTAGTTCTAGTTGTGGAAATTACACATTTTTGGTGTAATACTTTATTTTCATTTTTATTTGTAATTTAGTTAGATTAGGATTTTTCTGAGCTAAACAGGTCAAAGATCATCCAAGGGATCAAGATTGGACCCTAAAAGATCAAGGAAAGTGCAAGGAGACAAGAAAGATTTCGATTTGGAAAAAATACTCATGTACCCAGTCGGGTATTGCCTATACCCGATCGGGTATTTACTTGATTCGATTGTCCAAATCAAATCCGAGAACAAATGATCGTGGGAGAAGATTTTCGTTAAGATTTGTCACATACCCGATCGAGTATGCCGACATACCCGATCGGGTATGCCCAGAAAAGCGACTTTCTGGGCAATTTCCTAAGATACCCGATCGGGTATCCTATATACCCGATCGGGTATCAGACCCTGCAGCTCCCAAAAGCCTATAAATACACCCCTTTCCTTCACAATAAAATCACCAATTCACATATACGCTTTAGCTCAGTTTAGTTAAGTACATTTTTATATTTTTATCATGTTTAGTCTCCAAATGAGGAGTTAAACTCTTCCATCTTGGTTTTGCTACTTTGAAGCTTAATGAATTTGTAAGTTGTGAGTTATTCTCTTTAATCTTCTTCCTTGAATATTAATTCTTCCTTTAAATACTATTTCTATATCAATGTTGGGGAGTGTTACTAAGATGACAATTAGTTAACATATTGACATTAGTTATAGTAATAGTTATTTCTTCCTCTAAGTTAATATTGGGAAGTGTTACTAAGATGACAATTAGTTAACATCTTGATATTAACTATAGTAGGATTCATCCTCTTTAATATTCTTCCTTGAGTATTAATTAATTCCTATTCATATTTCATATTAATATTTTGAACATTACTTAAAGGATCAACTAGTTTTGTTTCATATATTAATTATTACTAGAATCGGTCGATTAATACGCTTGTTATTAATTCGGTCCTTTCACGGTAGTAAACTTGGGTTATTAATGCATGCGTTTCATGGTTAATAAACCAAGGGGAATTAATTATATTGATTAAACCAATAAAACCGCTTGTGTTGAGGTTATCAATCTCAATCATTTTCATCTTGATTTTATTGCTACTATCGAGTTAATATACGGCGCGTGTTCTATATTAACTCGGTAGTAAGTTTTATTAATGAACGTGTCTCGTTATTAATAACTACCCTCGATGAATTGGATATACTCCTCGATTGAGTATTCGAGAGGAAGATAGTTAAAGATATAACCGGGATCGACGAACATTTCATTAAGTGGATAAAAGCAAAGCCAAGTCTTCTTCTCATTAATTAAACCACATAAGTCGTTCATCTTTGTGTTTTAATATTCTTAAAAGTTCTTCAACAACAAATCTAAAAACCCCCCTTATTACTAGTTATAAAAAGAGAAGTATTCCTTTCCCTGCGGATACGAACCTTACTACGCTATACTTCGTATAAGTGTTGTATTATATTATTATTTTGAGTGCACACCACGACAAAGTGCACGTCAATATATTAAATCAAATTCAAAATTGGATAAAATTATCAAAAATTAAGAAAAAAAAAGTACTTAGACTTGAATGGTTAATCTATTTATATTAATGATATATGCGATATAAAAATTAAAATGCTATCTTTATATATATAAAGAGAACATGGTGGAGATCCAAATAGAAATCTATTTGGAGCCAAAAGAAGTGAAAAATTGTTGTCACTATTAATGAAGCATTACTTAATGAAGCCATATTAAATGCCAACCTAATTAATTGTTGTAAGTTATAAATAAAACTATAGAAAATATATTGAGCATAAAAACATTAAATATTAAAAAAATATTAGAAAAATATGAAAAGATACATATACATAATCAATTACGAGACGTAATATAATAAAGTTAAAAATGAAATGTTCTAATTTCAGAATATAAAATAGAGTATTAAAATATATTTGGATACAAATATTATATAAAGGACAATGATAATACTCAGTACCCCCATTAAATGGGTCCAGAATTGACTTGCATGTGGAATATAAATAAAGTAAAACTTACTATGTATGTGATTGAGCTTTTTACAAATCAGTTGAGAACAATAATTTACCTGCACATTTATTAGTTTAAATGGAAATGACAATTTTTGTTGGGGCAGTTGCAAAAATAAAGTTAGCACAATTTAACGAGATGAGGGAGTAATTGTTTTTATAATTAGCTGCAACATAAAATACAAAAATTCATTTATTTAATTCTACTATAAATATTCATTAGTAAATAAGTAACTATTTTAAAAATCCGTTGAAATCACAATTTTAAATAATGTTTCCCAATTTTGAAATGATTTTTAGCATTTCCAATTTTGTTTACGAGTCAAATTGGTTCAATGATATTGAATTATACAACTTTACGGTTCAAGTCGCGATTTTAACAATATTTATATGTCGTTCTTATAAAAACATATAGTGATTTTAACAATCTTGATTTGTAGCTCTTATAAAGCATATATTGAGATGAATGAAGAGATATTATGGAGTATACAATAAATATTTTCACTTTTTAGATGGAATATATTTAGAAACTTTAAAACACAACAAGATAGTAAAAAGTAATGTCATGTGTTGAATAATCATCATAATTATAACTAAATAATACTACGTATGAGATTGTAATACGATAACAATTGTTATCATCTTCATTAGACAAGATATGTTAGGGATGAAAGAATACTTATTTGGTAGTTTTATACAAATTGGTGTATCTCTAACAGACTAACAATTATCATACATGTATTCTAATATAATTCTCTATCATGTTTTTATTTTTAGACAATAAGTATGTATATACACATTACTCATGAAATAAATTATTTGTAAAAATAAATTGATGTCATTTGTTCTC